AATTGCCACGGCAAGCATAAGTCTGCTTACTCGTCAATCCCAGCGGAGAATGAGGTATGGCAAAATGCATGTGTTTTCCTGACATTGACATGTGGCGCGATGACACATTGCACCGGCGAGGTTCGAGTCCCACTGGGGCTGTTGATGAACGCAGTCCAGGGCTTTGTGCAATTCAATGGAAACGTGAAACACACTCACGTGAATATGGGAAAACTCAACTGTTCGTCTTCATAATCACATTGAGCGATGTTTGGCCGACAAAATTCGCATACAATCTCAACCAAAACTGAGAGTGTAGGCTGAAATTGCTTCTGTTTCGCTGGCCGAATGTCCCCTCAAGAATGGGGTTTTGAGACTGAAATGGTTCTGCTCACGAGAGTCTCAAGGGTCGGCTTCCTGTTTACAGACAAACGTCGCTTTGCAATGCACACCATAGCACCGTTCCCACCTTCTGTCTTGGCCACAATTTCGAGCCGTCAGCTCCTCCAACCGGACTCGGACTGCACATGAGCAGCACGACAGACGAATACGTGGCTTTTTTGACAAACGATCCTAAAATGCCGAAGATGAATGCATTTTAGAGACAAAATGAGCAGTTTTCGTCGCACAACGTGGTCGGATACTTTTATTTTTGCCGTCAATCTCGATACGTTACTCACATTCAAATGAGTAATAACGAACAAGTAGATTGTGCCTAAAATCCGGTTGCCTGGACTACCAAATTGGCGCTGTACAAATGAGGCCATTGTTGAGAATGTGCAGGTGAAGAGTATAAGTCACCTCAGCCGCATCCTTTAGAACAGGACAAGAAGTCGAGGGTACTCACAACGAAATGAGTAGGCAGTATCGATATGAGATAAATTCACCCAATTTCGTTTAAGCTGATGAACGACTGATAGTACAATTTTGCCACAATGATGTGAGTAGAGCTAAACTTTACATTCAATTTCGCAGAGCCTTGCTTTCCCAAAGTTGTTTTTATCCGAGCTGAGATGAACTGCAGTTTCAACCTCGCAACGGTCTCATCAACACCCCCAGCGGGACTCGAACCGTGTCAGGACAGAATGTGAATTTGACGCGTTAACAACTCGGCCACGTTGCCACGAGTGGTCTTGGGTCGCAGGAAAGATGTGAATTTCGAGGAAGCTCAGGCCTTTTGTCAAATCACATTCTTTGGTGCGATTTTAGATGAATAAAACGCATTTTTGCAATAACAATCGACTACGTTACTTATTCTTCGTGTTTGAGTAGAGTGTCGAGACAACCAGTAAATCGGACACACAAAATGTATTCACCCTATTTCGTTTAAGGCCTTCCTTGAAATTCACATCTGCCCTGTGACCCGAAGGCATTGGTGGCAATGTGGCCGAGTGTTTGACGTGTCAAGCTCACGGTTCGAGTCCCGCCAGGGGTGTTGATAAGACCAAGGCGAGGTCGCGACTGCAGTCCACTCCGCCCAAGATGAGAACGACTTGTGGGAAAGCAAGGCTATGTGAAATTGAATGAAAACTCAGCTCTCCTCATATGATTGTGTAAAAATGGTACTCCCTTTCCTTCATCACCTTAGACGAAATTGGGTGAATACATCTCATACTACTGATTTACTCATAGTCTCGAAACTCTACTCCAATACGAAAAATAGACATGATTGGACAGGGCTTTATGGCGACTTTAGAAAGTAGCATTCGACTCTCCCAAATGAGAAGCCGAGTCGGCATGCCTTACCTGGGCTGAAATAAGCGTTGCCATTCGAGTCTCCTCTGGTTGATAGCCAAAGTGTGAATTGGTGTTGGCTTACCTTTCATTTCGCTTAAGAAGGTAGGTGGCAGATATTCGTAAATCGGTCTCATACGATACCGTCCTGCGACCCCGACCCATCCATGCAGAGCTCTCGTCCATCATGTCACCAACCTCCTCAGAGCCGAAGGCTAGTAGCTATGGTCAATCACCAAAGACACCAAACTAACAAGGGTGTCTTATTCTGCTTCTTCCTCTCCATATTATCCTTCTTTTTCTTTTTCTTTTTCTTTTTCTTTTTCTTTTTCTTTTTCTTCTTCTTCTTCTTCTTTATCTTCTCTTTCTTCCTCTCCTTCTCCTTCTTCTTCTTCTTATTATTCTTATTCTTCCCCTTCTCCCACTCATTCTTATTCTCCTTCTTCTTATTATTATTCTCATTCTTCTTCTCCTTCTTCTTCTTTCTCATCCTTATTTTTCTCCTTGTTCTTATTCTTCTTCTCCTTCTTATTATTTTTCTTCAATTTCTTATTTTTACCTATTTTTTTCTACTTCTTCTCTTTATTGTCCTTCTTCTACTCCTTCTTCTTCTTCTTCTCCTTCTTCTACTTTTTCTTCTTCATCTCCGCTATCTTCTTCTTCTTCTACTTTTCCTTCTTCTATTCCTTCTTTTATTTGTTCTTCTTCTCCTTTTTCTTCTTTTTCCTCTTTTTCTTTTTTTCATTTTATTCCTTCTCCTTCTCCTTCCTCTTCTCCTTCTTCTATTCCTTCTTTTTATTCTTATTCTCCTTCTTCTTCCCCTTTTTTCTCTCCTTCTTCTCCTTCTCCTTCTTCTTCTTCTTCTCCCACTCCTTTTTATTCTCCTACTTCTTCTTTTTATTCTCATTCTGATTCTCCTTCTTTTTATTCCTCTACTTCTTCTTCTTCTCCTTCTTCTACTCCTTCTTCTTCTTCTTCTCCTCCTTCTTCTTTTTCGCCTTTTTCTTATTCTTCTTTTCGTTCTCATTATTTTTCTTTTTGTTATTATTTTTATGCCTTTTTTATTCTTCTCCTTATTGTCCTTCTTCTACTGCTTCGTCTTCTTCTTCTCCTTCTTCTACTCTTTCTTCTTCTTATTCAACTTCTTATTCTTCTTCTTCTCCTTCTTTTATTCCTTCTGCTCTTTGTTCTTTTTCTTATCCTTCTTCTTCTTCCTCTTCTTCTTCTATTTTTTTATTCTTTATCTTCTCATTTTATTCCTTCTCCTTCTTCTTCTTCTTCTTTTTTTCTCCTTCTTCTATTCTTTCTTCTTTTTATTCTTCTTCTTCCCATTTTTCTTCTCCTTCTTATACTCCTTCTTGTTCTCCTTCTTCTATTCCTTCTTATTTTTGTTCTTCTTCTCCTTCTTCTTCCCTTACTTCTCCTTCTCCTTCTTCTACTCTATCTTTTACTTATTTTACCCTTTCTTCTTCTCCTTCTTATTTTCCCTTTTTCGCTATCCGATGCTGCGAATGGCTTCATCAGAACCCAGCATCTTTTCATAGCTCAAGACAGTGACTTGCAGGACAAGTTATTTTTCCCTGTGCTCGATGCTGACAAGGCATTTAACATATTACTGTCTAGCAAATGAGTAGGCATCATCGACGAAGGAGAGAAGGGAGAATTTCTCCAAAGAAGGCCTGGTTCCAAGAGTCAACCGTCCTTTGTCAATCCCCAACACTCAGCATTTCAACTTCCATCTGCAAAGTACAGATTGACCAGGGCTTTTGCCCTCTTCATGGCGCCGAATGAGTCTGACCGACTGGCCAGAAAGCCTTCGTCTCGACGCGCCGACTCATCCTCGGCCCCGTCAGCAACGGCACTCCGACTCTCCACTTCCACCTCCTCTACCGAGTCCGGCTGCCTCAGACCTGCAGACTCATTTGTCACTTTTGGCCACAAACGAAGAGCACATTCCTTCCGTCCAAAGAGTGAATTGCCACTCGCAGACGAGACAATCTGCTTGTGTTGACATGCGCTCCATCGTCTGGCCGATCATGCAAGCAAGTGGCCTACTCTCGAGACGACCGTTCGGTTAGCAACGCAGTGAAGAGGACAGTCACGACAACCGGCGGCCAGCGCGAGAGGTACAGAAAGCAGAGCAACACAAAGAAGGCAAAGTAGCGAAGCAGCGTCTCGGTGACGTCGGAAACTGGCACCAGACCTAGTCGGTACCAACGGCCAGCGTGTTTTGTGCGAATCGGCCAGTCCGTTGGAAGTGGGCATGCACGAAGGTTGGGTCGCACAGAGTCCCTTGGCTGCGGGTTGAGCGCCAGTTCGAGTCCAGTTGGGGGACGGACTCGTCGATTGGCTGAGCAGCAATGCATGCCGACAAGAGACAGGCATCCTCGCACCAGAACACGCGTCCACGGAGGGAGAAGGTCTTCCAGAGAGCCGCTTTCAGCATTTCGTGTCGACATGTCTGATGAAGAGATTTGAAGTTGCATCTGCTGCGATCTTGAAGCGCTTGAAGAGATCCGCAACAAATCCTCCAGCAATGAAAAGGCCGAGATCTCGTCCATCCTTTCGGGGACGCCATTCGGGCTGAAAGTCATTCTTCCAAGAGTCTCGCA